AACACCTCCTCCTCGTCGATTTCGATCACGACGAACGAGAGAGTAACCCGAGAGAGTCATCTCTTCATCAGTGATTGTTGAATCAAGATTCGTCTCTTGAAAAGATAAGATGTCGAAGTCCTTGAAAAAGTCCCTCGCTTTCCAATAAAACAAGAAAGAGAGGGGCCACCCTCAAGCAGTTGAATCATGTACGGTTATCGGTAGACCGCGTGTAGGTTTCTCATCAGAAGAAAACTCAAAACACAGAGAAAAGGAAGAACAGATCATAAGAACTAATTGCTGCCATTGAAAGGAATCTGTTTATCTCTGACACTAAAACTAAACGGACTCTAAAAGGAGAGAAAAGTTATCGCTTTATCAAAAAAAGGGAAAAGTTTTAAGCATAGAACGAAAGGACTTTACTCGCTTTCGTACAGGGTTCAGTACCTACGAAAACCTTTTATAGAGATAATGGAAAAGAATCAAAATGACTGTTGAAATTTTACAGTATATTCATTGTCAGGAGATAGTCTTTTCACCAAACACGTTTTTCTTAAAGTCATTAAATCGACAAAAATGTATGGAATTGAATTTAAACTCATCGTTATACTTGTGGATTGTTCTTTCGAGAACGTATCACGTTTACATCGACTCTGTCCGAATTGTTCGACAGTAATAGAACTACTAGAACTCGGGCTTCCGATGACAAATATCACGTTTAATAAATTTTAAAACAACGGCATGGTGGTCTCCTAGACCTGTGCAAATCCCATTTCTTAGCAGAATAGTCCTTTTGTAGGCATTTTCACCATTTTCTAGTGAAACACTTTCATGAGCCGGTACTGCCAGATTAGCTTCTATATGTGCAGAGCTACAAAATCACTAGCGGACAAAAAGTTTCGAAATGTTAAGCACGTTCTCAGGAAAACGTTCAAAAAGTACATGCTGTACAACTCTACGGGATCTGTTTCGAAAGTGCTTGGTCATAGACAAAAATCTGCTTTTCTAATTGCCCACGTCGAGTATATGCGAGATATATGCCATCTCACGTTCTGGAATCCCGTAGAGTTGTACAGCATGTACTCAAACTTTGATAAACGAGAAAAATCGCCTTTAAGAGCTGTTTTTTTCTATCATTAAATGTTTTCTAATCGCAACGCGAATCCCTTCATCGAATAGAACTTGAAAAGGCGCATCGAATGCATATTTTGTTGTCTTATGTTGATATGATTTTATGAGGAAAAAATGGTTTACAAAAAAGGCCTACTTTTCGGAAAAAACGACCTTTTTAAACATTTTCTTGAGAACGTGCTTAACATTTCGAAACTTTTTGTCCGCTCGTGAATTTGTAGCTCTGCACATATAGAAGCTAATCTGGCGGTGCCAACTCATGAAAGTATTTCACTAGAAAATGGTGAAAATGCCTGCAAAAGGACTAAAAACAATAAACGTGCTAACTTCGTTATTGAGTCAAAATGAATTTACTGGTAACAAAAAAAATGGTTGTCAGAAATAAAGTACTTCTTGTTAAAACGAATGATTTTATTCGAAGTTTAGTAGTTAATTGGCTCAGCTCTGTTTTCACTGCCATAAATAGTAACGTATTTTTATTTGGTTTAGCTGTTGATTAGAATGTTCGGTTCTCGGTTCTGGTTCTCGACTTAGAATCGAAACGAAAGCAACCGCGGTTTTCGGCTTAGAACCGGAAAATAATTTTCCAGGCAGTAACAAACAATTCAACGAAACAGAATTCATTTTATAGTAAACAAAAGGATTGCTTGTAAATGATGGCAGGCAAATATATCTTTTTGTAACTTTGTCAAGAGTGTGTTTTCATTTTGTTAAAAGAAAGACAAGTCAAAAAGTCTCAGTTCCGAAACAAAGGAACAGTCTAAGAAATTGCGGTTTCGGTTCCATTGTCAGAACCGGCAGCGTGATGCCGAATTCTTCCGATTTCCGACAAAGAATCGAAAATAAGAGAACCGAGAACCAAACATCCCTACTGTTGACTGATTTAGTCTACTTCATTGAACCAATTGTATTTATAATAATTGCATTGTTCTTACACGTACAAATGTCTCTAATCGAGGATCCTACAAACAAAATCCCATAATATTTATTCATATGTCGACAGCATCATATCGGGTTTTTTCGAAATTTTAAGTATTAAGCCTTCAGACGTTTTATAATTTAATTAAAGACTACTTTAAATCAACTTTTTCGTATGTGATAAACTTTGAAAATTAGTGTTTCTTATATACTGCATACTGGGATAAACAAGAAGTAAATAGACAAAACAAACGAGTACATCTATCACTTTATTTCTTTACACACAGAATCTTCGAATATGAATTGAGTTTCACATCCGCTCTCTGTCGGTCAGTGTCTGATCATCTTCATCTTGACCAATTATAGAGATACTGGTTTCTTTTAGAATTCCGAAATAAATAAATAGTTCCAATACATCAGTTTATGTGTGTTTATTAAATCTCTATGAGATGAGAAACAATTCTTGTCTGACGTTATAGAATTTATGTTATTGTTTTTACTCTCTATGATGTTTTAGATGTTTATTGGTCTTCATTATTTACTCTGCAATCGTTGTCCATCATCATTCTCGTTATATTTATCGTTTTATCGTCTATTAGGTGTAACAAAAACGGATGTTGTATCAACCTCAAAATTGATTCAAACTCTTTTGAAATCACAACAAGACAATAAAAATAATTCTTTACCAAAGACTGAAACGATATTATTTTCGACTGAACAATTAATTAGCCATGTAGAACAAGAAACAATATCTCCATTGAACCAATGGATACTCAATTGTTTAGGTAAGAGGAAAACAAAAACGACATATTTTTTGAGTGAGCATAAGACGATGAGAGAGATCTAAGTGATTCAGATCACAAAATAACTGAGCTATCGATGAAACGTTTTGTTTTAGATGTTATTCATGATGCTAATACAACACAAATTCGTCCGATGAAATTCGATTTTAATCAAAATTCATCAAAATTAAATTTACTCTATGAACAATTGGAAAACTATCGAATAGGATCAAATCAACAAATATTTCCATTAGAAGATGCATTACTCTATTTAAGATATGTTCGATTAATAAATGTGGCATTTATTTATCGCTACATTA